GCTGGAGGATCAGCTAATGGTCGGTTCTGACTCGATGCCATACCACAACTTGCTTTCAAAATTTATAGAAATAATATCACTCACTTTGCATTTTAAGGTTAAATTTCTTCTATACTTATTTTATAAACCTATTCTTAATTTTTCTCCCATTGATGAGATAAATAATGTATCTCCTAGATATTATGGGTTGGTTTTGGTACATAGAAGTTTAACTCCTGCTGATGAGAAAGAAAAAGAGGGATTTAACTTGAATCTTTCTAATGCCAGAGCCATAGAGAGTTCTGGTGGCCTAGTAGTAAGGAGCCTCCCTGGCAACCCAAGGGTATGTGGGGTCTAATTCAGCAACTGTGCCATGAGAGAAAGAAGGTCAGTCTCTTTCTGTGTGACTTACTACCTCTAAAAACCTAATAGAGGTTCAGCTATGAGTTGATCCCAACTTTAGGGCACATAAAACCAACACCACTACTGCATAGGGACATAGTTGGAGCAAGTTATTGAAAAAAGACAAAAAAATTAATATCTGTGTGTGTATATATGTGTACCCACACACGTAAATAAATAAATAAAAATACTTGGAGTTCTGCTCTAAAGCTGTATTCCCTTGTATTATCACCTCTCCTTATCCAATACTGTATTGGTAGTCTTAGTGAAAGCAATAAGGCTAGAGAAGGGGGGGGAAAGGTATCCGGATTGGCAAAGAGGAGATAAAACTATCACTATATGCAGATGATATGATAATATACTTAGAAAACTCTATAAAGACTCAATGAGAAAACTGTTGGATATAGTTGACCAGTTCAGCAGAGTGGCACGATTTAGGTAAACATACAAAAATCAGTTGGATTCCTCTACAGGGACAAAGAGAATATAGAAATGGAGGTAAGAAAAACAATACCAATTACAATAGCTAACCACAAGATTAAATACTTAGGAACAAATCTAACTAGAGACATAAAAATCCTATATAAAGAAAATTATAAAACATTACTACAAGAAATATAGACCTGGAGAAATGAAAGAACATACTATGCTGATGGATAGGAAGAGTCAATATCATAAAAATGACAATTCTACAATGACAATCTACAAGTTCAGTGCAATCCCAGTTCAGATACCAATTCCATTCTTCAACAAGATGGAAAGGGCAATTTTCATTTTTACCTGGAATAGCAAGAGACCCCAAATAAGCAAAGCATTATTGAGAAAGAGAAACAAGTCAGAAGGCATCACACTTCCTGAGCTCAGATTCTACTACACATCCATGGTGGTCAAGACAGTATAGTACTGGTACAGCAATAGACACGTGGAATAAAATTGAGAACCCAGAAATCAGTTCATCTACCTATGGTCGACTGATTTTTGACAAAGAGTTGAGTTGATATCAGTTAAGTGAATGTGGCGATAGCCAAAAATTTGGCTTTTTTTTTTTTTTAGCCATTACAGTCAGCTCCCTCTGGTTTCCAGCTACCTTAATTGCAGACACATGGTCTTGCATATCAGCAGCATGGTCTTGTAAATCATCAATGGGCATGAGACTAAGATAAGAGAAAGAGTGTATTTACACACACACACACAGAGGCAAGACTTGAGATGGATAAGACTTGTGGCTGGCACTACTTGAAGTAGAGGAGAGCTGACCCTGTTGGCTTGACCCTAGTGATGGTGTTGGGCAGACTGTGACATTGTTATGGAGAAACTGGCAAGGTGTAAGCAGAAGAGCTCTGAGATAAAGGCTGCAATTAAAGGTGTTTGCTGTTGTTGCCAGATGATTGAAGGAGATGCTGACTTATAACAGCTCTAGGATAAACTTTGCCAGATGATTTGAATTTAACCGCTGAACTGAAATCAGATCCTGGACTAATTGAGGAATTGTGTTTTTGAATTTGGCCAAAAACTGGACTTGTATTGTGAGATGTTCTTTGCCTCCCCCATTCTCCAACTTCCTTCCCTAATAAACCCATTGTTGGTACCACAGTGGTGAATCTGCATGTTAGCAACGAATAAACTCAACTCTTCCTGTTGGTATAGCTCTAGAGGCACCATGGAGCTGGGCTATGGACTGTTTCTGCTATGGGGTGGTGAAAGAGTGTGCTGTTCTTACTCCTTCTTGCTCTTTCAGAGAGACGTTTATAGCACCGTGCTCCCATGGCCTGTTTTCTCCTCTTTGGATAGTAGGGGAATGATAGTCTATTTAAAAGTAGGTGTTGATAAAATTGGAAACCATATGCAGACAAGACCCACACCTCACACCATACACAAAAGCCAACTCATGGTGAATCAGGTACCTTGGAGTCAAACCAAAGACTATAAAATTAATTAGAGAAAAGCTAGAAAGAACTCTAGAAGCCCTAATCCATAGCATAAAAAGTCTTCTAGGCATACTGAAAAACCTCCAATAAGGAGAGAATAAAAATAGATGAATGGGACCTTCTAAGAATCAAATCCTATGCACATCAAAAACCTTCTCCGACAGGATAATATGGAAACCCACATACTGGCGAAAAATATTTACCAATAACATATCTGGTAAGGGACTTATATCTATAATTTATAGAATACTCAAGCACCTCAACGAGCAAAAGGTAAATGACTCAGTCACAAAATGGGCACAGGATGTGAATAGACCTGTCTTACTTTAAGAGTGTATAAATGATGCTGTGCTGTTATGATGGAGGGGAGAACATAAATTTTCTTCTGTGCTGCCTCACTTCAAACTATTTTAATATAGTACACTGGAAAATTCTTGAGATTGTCTCTTTAATATTTTAAAATTTTTGTAATTTTACTTTCCTCTGTAACCTTTATTCTATATGTTAGTAACTAAAGAGCTAATTTAGTTTGTTGTTGTTATGTGCCATCGAGTCACTTGCAACTCATTGCAACCCTGTGTACAACAGCTCAGAACTCTGCCCTATCCTGAGCTGACCTTATTGTCTCTGACACACCTGCCACCACTATCCTAGGCAGGGAGTCAGTCCACCTCATCGAGAGTCTTCCTCTCTTGCGCTATCCTTTTACTGTTCCAAGCATGATGTCCCTCTCCAGAGACTGGTTCCTTCTTGCAGCATGACCAAAGTATGTCAGACAGAGCTTCAGAATCCCTGCCTCCAAGGAGCAACCTGGTTTCCCCTTCTCCTGGATGAACTTGTTTGTTCTCCTAGCAGTCGATTTAGTACTCTTCTCCAACATTACAGTTCAAAAGCACCAATTCTCCTTCTGTCATCTTGACTCATTATCCAACTTTCTGATGCTTAGCAAGTAATTGTCAAGACTGGCCTGTATCAGGTGCACTTTAGTATCCAGACTGACATCGTTGCTCCTCAGTACCTTGGAGAGGTCCCTAACAGCAGACTTTCCTAGTGCAGTTCATCTTTTGATTTCCTGGCTGCTGGTGTTGATTGTGGAGTCAGACACAATGAAGCTGTTAAAAATCTCAATCGCTTTTATATTAAAAGGAAGCAGACTGACTGACTTAAAAATTAAATTCTAAATGTCATTTGGATTTACTGCAACATGTTAAGTGGCTATACAAAAGTAAAACTATTAATGCATTTCTCAGTGTTGAGAAAATCTGGTGTTGCATCTCACTATTTTTATAAAGAGGTATGGCTTGCATAGAAATTCTGCAGCTATTTAGAGCCAAACAATTCTCTTGAGGTAAGTAGATGCAATTGTACTTAAATGTTGAGTTCAGTTTTTTGTCAGACATTAAACAAGTAGCTAAAACTGGGAGTTCTGGTGTCTAGTTGTCATAAAATATGTGCTAGCTTTGTGTAGCTTTACTGGAACACCTGTGTGATTGTATGTTATTTTCTTAAGCCATCAAGGTAGGGACTCCTAGAATTTCTGAAGCTTCTGCTTTTTGCTATTGAAAGTTATCAGGAGGGAATATGTGGATAGAGTGTCCTTTTAAAATATTTAAACACTGTTCATACTTAATACTATCTTGAGATTACGAGGATTCTTCTGAAGATAAAAGAAAGGAGATTAAGCAGGAGTTATACTTGTATAGCTAACAATCTTCTTTCCCTCCTATATAAGCTTATCAAAGTGAGATATATGTAATTATTGTGTAAATCTTATAAAATACTGTAATTATAAAAATGATGTTACTTTGCTTTCCTAGTAAAACCACTTCTACTTTTGCAGAATTTACCAAAATGGAAATATGATTTTTTTATGTAACTTTTTAATTAGATTTAGGATTGTTGAGGACATGAACTGTCAGTCTTTATAGCACATAAAAGATACTAAGTAGTAGGGGAGCTCTGGTGGCCTAGTGGCAAGGAGCTGCAACTACAATCCCAGAGGCGCACGGTTCGAATCCACCAGTTCCTCTGCTGGGGAAGGAGGGACAATCTCCTCCTGTACCAATCAGATCTGATTTGACGGTACACACACACACACACACAAAAATAATAAAATAAAAATAAAAAAAAACAAGAACATTTAAAAAAAAAGATACTAAGTAGTTTTAAATGAATGAATAAAGACAGAAATTACTCTTAATCACTTAACATTTTAATCTCTAATATTTTTTGTAAGTTTCCTTTGTTTTGGTGTTTATTGCTTTTCAACCAACTGTGTTGTTGTTGTTATGTGCCCTTGAATCGCTATTGCCCTGTCTCTGACACACCCATCCCGATTACCCCAGTCACTGAAACAATCCACCTCATAGAGGGCCTTCCCCTCCTGCGCTGTCCCTCTACCCTCCCAAGCATGATGTCCTTCTCCAAGGACTGGTCTCTCCTTACAACATGTCCAAAGTATGTTAGACGGAGCCTCAGAATCAACTATAAGTTATAAAATATTGGCATTTAAAGTAAACTAATTTTATTTGGCAAATCTCAGAAATTTAATTGTGTTATGATTTTGAGATACTGAAACTTCTTTATTTCTTTTTTCTTTGTACATTTACTTTTTCTTTAAAATTCTCATTTCAGATATGAATAAACAAATCTTTTGTTATTATTGATAACAGATTGTTCTTTGTGTTTTAGACTGAGAGCAGTTTCAGTGAAGAAGAGGAAGAAAAACTTCAAGCTGCATTTTCTCTAGAGAAACAAGAACTTCACCTAATTCTTGAAACAATATCATACATTTTAGAACAGGTACTTCCTCCCAAACTTATATGATTTGCTTACCTCGTGTTTGTATTACTGTATAATTTGCTACAGTCTGCTTTTTAGGAAGAATGTGCAAGATGGATATTTTTATTATATTTTAATCAGAAATTGAAGTTTAATTTAAAAATTGTGTATGTAACTTTTCACACCACTGTAATATGCAAAGGAGTGCTGGTGATTGTGGTTGTTGTTAGGTGTTGTGGTGTAGAGTACAACTCCTAATGACTCCATGAACAGATCTGAACCCTGTCCTATCTGTGACATCTTCGTGCCACATCAGAGCCCATTGCAGCAGTCACCACGTCAATCCACTTGGTTGAGGGTCTTCCTCTCCTTTGTAGACCCTCTATCCTTCCAAGCATCATGTCTCTCTCCAAGGAATAGCCCCTCCTAGCAGTGTGCCCAAAGTATGTGAAGTGAAGCCTCATCATTATTGCCTCCAAAGAGCACTCCATCTGTATCATCTCCAAGACTATTTGTTTGTTCTTTTGGCCTTCCATGGGATGTTCAGTGCTCTTCTCCAACACCATAACTCAAAGGCATCAATTCTTCTTCTGTCATCCTTATTTATTGTCTCACTCTCAGATACATATCAGGTGATCAGAAAGACCATGGCCTGAATCAAGCACCCCTTTGTCCTCAAATATAATTTGGAGAGGTCCCTAACTGCAGATTTTCCCAGTGCATGTGTCTCCTTATTTCCTGACTACTGGTACCACAAGTGTTAATTGTGGATCCAAGTAAGATGAAGTTGTTGACAGTTTCAATCTTTTGTCCATCCATCACAGTCCAGTGGTAACAATCTTTCTTTGTTTGCTTGATCCTGAGATGCAAATCTATACCAAACCCTGGATTCCTAAGTCTTCTGCAACAAGTGGTTCAAGTTCTCCTTACTTTCAGCAAACAAGGTAGTGTCATCTTGAATCTCTCACTGTTCCTGATGCCACATTTCTACGTGTAGCTTCTCAAATAATTTGCTCAGCATACAGACTAAATAGGTATGGGGAGAAAATACAACTCTGATGCACACCCTTCTTAATTTTAAACCATGCAGTGTTTCCTTGCTCTTCACAGTGGCCTCCTGGTCCAGGTATAGGTTTTGCATGAGCACAATTACATGCTCTGGGACTCCCATTCTTCTCAATGTCAGCCTTAACTTGAAATGATCCACACAGTCAAATGCCTTTGCATAGTTAATAAAGCACAAAGCCATTCTTCTGGTATTCTTTATTTTCAGCCAAGATCTGTCTGACATTAGCAGTGATATCCTTGATGCCATGGCCTTTCTAAATCCTGCTTGAACTTGTGGCAACTCCTTGTCTATGTACTCTTTTAGCTATTTTTGAATGCTCTTAAGCAGTATTTTGATTGCATGTGATATTAATTTTACTATTTGATAGTTTCAACATCAGTCGATCACCCTTCTTGAGAATGGGAACAAATATGAACCTCTTTCAATCCATTGGCCAGACAAGTATCCCCCAAATTTTCTGGCATACATTGGTGCTGCTTCTGTTAATGGAAACAAGTCAACTGGTAACCCATCAATTCCTGGGGCCTTATTTTTTGCCAATGTGTTCAATACAGCTTTCACTTTTTCCATTGTCATTGGCTCTTGTTCATATGGTACCTCCTGAAATTTTTCAGTGTCAGTTTTTTTGGTACAGTGATTCTGTGTACTCCTTCCGTCTTCTTTTTTATGCTTTCTGGGTTATTCAGTATGTTGCTCATAGCATCTTTCAGTATTGTAATGAGGGATTTAAATTGTGTATATAATTGTTGTCACACACCATTGTAGTCTACAAAGGAGCACTACCTGAAATGTCAGTGATTCGAATCCACATAGCCGCTCTGCATTAGGAAGACCTAGTGATCTATTCCCATAAAGATGACAATTTAGAAAACATGATGGATTTTTAGTTTTCTGAGAGAACTCTGGTGGCCTAGTGGTAAGGGACTGCACTGCACTACTGAAGGCACATGGCTCAAATCCACCACCTCTTGTGTGGGAGAAAGATGGACATTCTTCCTCCCCTGTGACTAAACTGCCTCTGAAAACCTGCTAAAGGGTCATCTATGGGTCGATTCTGACTTGATGGTATATAACAACAGTAACAGCAACACTGTGGCTTCTACTGTGTCATATGTGCCACTATGACTTAATGGTTTTTAACAAGTACTGAACAACAACATTACATTTTACAAAGTTTTGATATTAAATAGCAAGGACAAAATATTTGACAATGTGATTCAACACTTTATTGACTTAAGACAGTTATAAAATATTTGATTTTGTTATTACTTGGTATAATAATTTAGAAAAAAGGAAAAATTTTGTATAAGGAAATGGTTGACAGATAATTTGAGGGATTTAACAAAAACGATAAGCAAAACATTTGAAAAAGAAATAATTAGAAGACCTTTTGAATACTGTTTCTTCCTCCTTCACAGCCGTTTTGTATCTTTTTTTCTCATATAAATTCATTGTTATTTATACACCTGTTAAAGTTCATCTCCTCCTCTTGCAGCCTTGACTTTTTTTAATATTTGCAGTTTCTCTTGTTTGGATTCCTGATATCCTTGACTCTTAATAGTACAGCATATTGCTTTTCTCTCATCATTTCATGGATGCCAGTTATATCCCTTTAACTAGATTTTGAATTTATGGCTTGCCAAGGCTATATTTTTTTTTTTTTACTTATAAGCCTAGCATATAGCTGGACATAAAATAGATCCTTTGTAAGTTTCTGTGGATTGATTAGTTATAATTTAGATGAAATAGTACTATAGATTGATGAATCATTTGAAAGGAATAGTTAATAGGCCAAGGACAAGTTGACAGCATCTACTACATACAGACAGTCTTACACAGATTACAGATCATAAAGGCTCTTATCATTGGTGGACCTCCGAAAGAAGAAAGGATAATGGCAATAAAAGAATAGCGCAGTATCTATTTTTAGAAAAGATGTTTCAGAATTATATGAAAAACAGAACTTCAGATGTCACTGCTAAAAGCCTTTGTAATATTTTAAATAACATGCTGTATAGGAGAACATATGTTATTGTTGTGTGCCATCAAGCCATTGCTGACCCTTTGGTGGGTTTTCAGAGGTTGCAAATCACAAGGAAAGAGATGTCCACCTTTTTCTCTTAAAGGGTGGATTCAATCCACATGCTGTTGGGTTGCCAGTGTAACTCCTTACCAACTAGGCCAGTCACTCAGTAGTCATTAAGAAGTTGGCAGATGAAGGCAATTAAAAATTATTTTTATTATGATTTAAGTGAAAATTTACAAAGTGTACTGTTGGGTTCCCACCCTTTATTCCTCCCAAAAAGGTAGTTTATTCTAGCATGCTGTAGAAAAGGAAACAGAATGGAAGAAGTGGAGAGCTAGCAGGAAAGCTAAACCCAAACTCCTCAGCATATTGTTTTTCACAGTCAATAATTAATTTGTATTTTGTTTCATAACAACAATTAAAATATACACAATGTCCGATTGTAATTTGCAAAAGTTGTTGTTATGTGTCGTCGAATCACCTTTGACTCATAGCGACAGCAGCCCTAAATCCTGCTCTAGCATTTGCCAGACTTATTGTCTCTGGCACACCTACCTCCATTACTCCAGTAACTGGCTCAATCCATCTCAACAAGAGTCTTCCTTTCTTACGCTGTTCTTCCACCCTCCCAAACATAATGTCCCTCTCCAAGGACTGGTTCCTCTTTGTAAAGTGTCCACAGTATGTCAGATGAAGTTTCAGAATCCCTGCCTCCACTCCAAGGAACAGACTGGTCTCACCCTCTCAAGAACGAACCTGTTTTTTTCTCCTAGCAGTCCGTGGTATATTCAGTACTTTTCTCCAGCATCTCTTTACCCTCTTTCATGATGCTACCAATTGGCCCAGAGGTAGGAATCTTTGTTTTCTTGTTGTTGAACTTCAGTTCATATTGAAGTCTGCAGTCTTTAACCTTCTGTAGCAAGTGCTTCAGGTCCTTCTCAGTTTCAGCAAGCAGGGTTGTATCATCTGCATAACACACTTTGCTGATGAGTCTTCCTCCAATCCTGATGCCACATTTCTCCTCATACAGCCTAGCCTCCCAGATAATCTGTTTAGCATCTAGATGAAGAAGATATGGAGATAGGACACATCCCTGGAGTACATCCTTCCCAATTTTGAATGATGCAGTGTTTCCTTGCTCTGTTTTGATGACTGCCTCCTAGTTCAAGTATAGGTTTTGTATAAGCACAATCAAATGTTCTGGGATTCCCATTCCTTTCAGAGTCAGCCACAGTTTGTTGTGATCCACACAGTCAAATGCCCTTTTGTAGTCAATCAAACACAGATACATATTCTTCTGTTACTTTCTGGTTTCAGCCAAGATCCATCTAACATTAGCTATAATATCCCTAGTACTATGGCCTCCTCTCAGCCCACCTGCACTTCAAGCAGTTTTCTGTTGATGTGCTGTTCCAAGTAGTTTTTTTTTTCTTCTTAAGCTTTATTTTTTTAAAATAATTTTAATGAGCATTTACAGAGATTTTGGATTTCCATTCATTCATTGCTGCACTTCTCTCCCCGC